TTGAGGAGTCCTGGTGGTGCCATGGTTAAAACACTCAGCAGAAAGGTTGGCAGTGAGAAGGATGTGGTAGTTTGCTTCCATAAAAAGCACAGCCTTGGAACTCCTATAGGACAGTTCTACTCTGTCCTATAGGATCACTGTGATTTGGAGTGGACTTTCTGACAATGGATACAGTTTTGGTTTTGGGTAGAAATATTTTTGGGACAAAAATATTTCCTTCTTTGTCTTTCTTTAGAGTGAGAAACTGACTAGATAAGATAGTCTCTGTGAAATTCTTGTTTGTTAGATTCAAGCAACTTCTTAAAAAAGAAATTTAACGAGTTGCTGGGTTTGAGGACTATGAACCATAGGCTCAGGGGACATCATAGTCAGTTGGCATAACATACTCCACAAAGGCAATGTTCTACATCCTACTTTGGTGAGTAGCAACAACGGTCTTAAAAACATGTAAGCAGGCATGTAAGGTACAACTATTGGTTTCTCCCTCTCTGGAGAAAAGAAGAGTGATGAAAACCAAAGATGCATGGAAACAGTTAGTCCAATGGACTAATGGCCAGGTGAGCATCTGTCTATGACTCTGAGATCAGAAGAACTAGATAGTGCCCAGCCCTACAACTGCTACTTTGAAAGGGATCGCATGAGTAAGTCCCAGATAAAGTGGAAGAAAAATGTGGAACAAAACTCAGTCATAGAAAAGACCAGGCTTACACATTAGATAAAGACTCATGTAACCCTGAGACTATAGCCCTTAGTTAGCCTTCAGGTCTGGAACTGAACTCACTTCCATGGCTCAATTTTCAGTCAAGCAATAGATAGATAGATAGGAGGTGGGGGGGGCCTGGGGGGGAGCAACAACATTAGTGAGGTATTCTCACCATAGAATGGTCAGCCATTCAAGATCAAAAGTGGAGCATTTGCTCAAGGACAAAGTTTAGGAGAATTAGGGAAAAGGAGGAATGAAAATAGTAAACAGAGCGAGGGAGTGGAATAAATGATATGACATTGAGGGGATTGCAATAAATGAAACGAAACAAAATATGTATGAATTGTTGAATGAAAGACTGATGATCTCCTCTGTAAACCTTCACCTAATTCACAATAAAGGTTAAAATAAAAAACAAATAATTGTCGGATTGGGGCCAGATGATATAGTATGTAAATGCGCTGAGCTAACCATCTGCAACAAAGATATGGGAGACCAAATGCAATATACAGATGGCAATCCTAGAACCTTGAGCATCAGGGTATAGGACAGAGAGGTAGACTGAGTGCATATTGGAAAAGGAAGCTGAACAGGAACAGCCATAGAGACAAAAACAGGCAGACTGTGGGCCAGCATGGAGCAGTGTTGATACACCAGCCTGTGGGCACAGCTGGAGGTTGGCAGCAAGGGGCTACTGTTCTCCCTTGTTCTCATGCCCTTCTGGTAGGCAGGGTCTAGTCCCTGCCCACAACAACCCAGTGAACAGTGGCACCCCCTTCTGCACATTCTTTCTTCTGCCTAGGGTCGGGTACCAGTCATACTGCTCAGGTTTCTGGGGGCAAGTGATCCCAATCTGAACTATGTTATGTTACACAGTGAACAGAGAACTAACTTTCTCTTTCTTCACCACCATCTACCTGGAGACAGGTGGTGAATGCCTGAGAAGGCACCAATATATATAGTCACCAGTCAAGTAGAAATAAGATACCACAATGTCTAATAGAAAACAGAAAATTTCATCTTACATGAAGAAACAAGACAGAGTGCCTCAAACAAGTGACCAAAATACGGAATGAGAAAATATAACACCAGAAATGTTATCAGAACTACCTGACAAGGATGTTAAAAGAATGTAGATAAAAGAACTTTAATAGGTTGAGAGGATGATGGAGAAAACTACAGATGAAATCATGGACAAAACTCTAGAAGAATTTAAGAAACAAACTGACAAAATTAATGAAAAAAACAAAAAACAAAAACAAAAGAGGAACTATTTAAAAATAGCAATCAGAACCCTAGAAGATTAGCAGTAAGACTTCAGAAATAGATAATACACTGAAAGGACAAATACACTGAAGCAACTGAAGACCAAATTCCTGAGTTTGAAGAAAAATCTTTCAGTATAGGAACAATCAGAAATAGAACAAAAAATCTGAAGAAGGTCTAAGATTTAAGTGGAGCACTATCAAGAGAAATAACTTGTGTGTAATTGGAATTCCAGAATAGGAAGAGACAACAACAACAACAAACACCCATTTAGAATATTTTCCAAGAATTTTTAGACGAAAACTTCCCTAACATAATGAAAAATGAGAAGATAGACATTCAAGAAGTTGAATGAACTCCAAATAGGATAGAACCCAAAAGAAAAACACCACGGCATATTATTATCACACTCTTCAAAACCAAAGACAAGAAAATAATCCTGAAAGCAGCTGAGGAAAAATGTAAAGTTACCTTCAAAGGACAACTAATAAGACTAAGCTCTGATTTCTCAGCAGAAACCAAATATGCAAGAAAATAATGGAATTGTATATATAAAACTCTGAAATAATAATAAAATGCCAACCAAGAATCCTACAGCCTGCAAAATTGTCTTTCAAATATGATGGTAAATTTATGTCATTTTTAGATAAACAGAAATTTTTTGAATTTGTAAAAGCTAGACTAACCTTACAAAAAATGCTAAAGGGTATTTGAGTTGAGAATCACCAACAGCAGAAAACAACCTGGACTCAACTCAGGTATGGAAGTGTTCAAAGAAAAACAGATGATGCAGCAACAAATGCCATAAAGTAAAAAGAGGGAATAAAGTAGTTACAGAACTTCCAAATGAAGAAGAAATCAAGTAGTTTTCAATAAATAAATAAATCCCAACTTGAAACTTGAGAGCTAATTGGTCAAGCAGCAGCTGTATGTTGAGGATAGGGATATCTAAGGTGCAATCTTTACTTTTCAAAGAGATTGGAAAAGAAGCCATCGAGTTGGTAGAAAGGATCTCTGTCTTGTAGTTAACTCAGACGCTCTTGCTTTCTTTCTCACAAAAAAAAAAAAAGAACAAAAGAAAAGATGTCTTGGTGTATAAAACTATTTAAATATTTTCATTTATTATGGAAAAGAACATTAGTCTAACTTCCTAATTTTGCAGATGAGCAAGAGACGTGTACATAGGAATTCATTTCAAAAAATAAGGTAAAAGAGAATGGTTGCATAAATGAATGTGTAATACTTTCCTTATTTGTTCTTAATCTAAATTAGTATTCATTTTATGTATTTCCTATACTGAAATAATATATACATTGTCACATATCAAGGCAAGTGTTCAGTTTTTTGGGGTTTTTTTTGCCTACTGAGTAATTATTCTATTGGCTGTATGTTTCAAATATGAGGGGGCTTCACAAAGTTTGTGGGAAAATGAAATTCAAAGATAATGGAATTTGTCCTTTAACTTTTTGAAACCCTCTGGTATATTACACCCCTGGTATATTACATATTCAAAATATTGTAAATGGAATTTTAGCATACGGGTATTTGTGTGCCTGTTGTAACTGGGGAGTCCTGGTGTGGCGCTGTGGGTTAATGCGCGAGATTGCAAAGCCTTTTAAACTGCAAGGTCAGTGGTTCAAGCTCACCAGCTGCTCCTCAGAAACCCTACACAGGGTCGCTATGGGTTGGAATCGACAAGACAGCACTTACCAACAACAACACTTGTACCTGGGTTAGTGATTCACTTCATGTTCATGTTTTAGGGTTTTGACCAACTCCGACTGGAAGGATTGCTGTGTGATGTGACCTTGATGCCCGGAGACACAGATGACTCCTTCCCTGTGCACAGAGTCATGATGGCGTCTGCTAGTGATTACTTCAAGGCTATGTTCACAGGTAATTTGATGTTTTTAAACTTTCACCCACATTAAAACAATGTGTAAAATCTGTGTTTAAGTCCTTTTCTGTATAAAGCAAAAATCAGTTCTTTCAGACTGTGTCTTTACAAGAGGAAACACTTGTAAGAAGATTATACGCCAGTAGGTATGTTTATAAGGAAGCCTGGTGGTGCTGTGGGATAAGCATTAGGCTGCTAACCACAAGGTCAGTGCTTCAAACCCCCCCAGGGAAGAAAGAAAAGGCAGTCTACTCAAATTAAGATTTGGTTTTGAAAACCCCTCAGGAGCAGTTCTCGCTGTCTTATATGCTTACTATGAGTTGGAATTAACTTGACGGCAGAAGGTTTGATTTAGGTATGGTTATGGGTGGTGATTTTTGTTTGTTAGATTTTAACTTGGAAAATGAATGTATGTTTTCTTATTTCTGTCCCTCTTTATTTCACAGCTCTTATTTTCCAGACACATTTCTGTTTTGCTCATACCACGAATACAACCTCTATCCATCAAAAGATCCAAAGTGATAGGGAAACATTTTGAAAGCAGTTGTGTCCTGTATGATTCTTAATTAGTATAGAACTATTCCTTTTTAATGACTATCTTTTAACTGCAAGATATGCAGAATCCTGATTTTTTTTTTTTTTCGGGAATGCTTACATAGAATAAGATTTCCCCTTGATTTTATTGCATCTCATTAGCAGGAGAAGAGAGTTTGACCTTAATTAGAGAATCCACCTTCATTTAATTGAATGTCTTTTTATTTAAGGTGGAATGAAAGAACAAGATTTAATGTGCATTAAGCTTCATGGCGTGAGCAAAGTCGGTCTAAAGAAAATTATTGATTTCATTTATACGGCAAAGCTTTCTCTTAATATGGACAACCTGCAAGACACACTGGAAGCTGCAAGCTTTCTACAGATTCTGCCAGTTTTGGACTTCTGTAAAGTATTTCTCATATCTGGGGTAAGACATTTTCAAGTTTCAATTTTTCCTTGATAGAGTCTGATGTTGCCTATTTCTAGTAGAACTCGTGAAACTATTGTTCATACATGTAAAACTTGCACCATTAGAGTTGACATGTACCATGTGATATGGAAGCAAACTGAGAAGAAAAAAAGTATAGGTGTCTTAGAAGACGGAATCATTTAACAAAAGCTTTCTGTGGAATCAAGTGACAACAAACACTAATAGTGTTTGATAATTAAGTATACTTTTACATATTTGATCACATTATATACCATAATCTTGTTTGTACCTTAATTATTTTATACTGTTTATGTTGTTTTTAAGTGCTGTTGAGTCTGTTCTGACTCATAATGACCTT